TTCAGAAAAAAAAAAAAAAAAAAAAAAAAAAAAAAAAAAAAAAAAAAAAATTATGAGCGGGTAGGTGAGATATCGTCATGTACAATTAAAAATAAAGTCAACTTTTTGACTAATTGGACTTTTATGCTCTGCTTTGAAGGGAAGGTGTTTGGAGATAATTATCTAGTTTGCCTACCAAAGTAGAACACCGTCCCCAGAGTCTACTCTCACAACCGGATTATCAAACAGAAGAAAACGTTGATCAGAAGAAAAAAAAAAAAAAAGAAAGAAGAAGAAGAAGAAGAAGAAGAAGAAGAAAACTTTTTGCCTGAAGAAGCTTCTAGGAAGAAATAATCGGTACATTGGCAGTTGAAAACACGTATCTAAATATTCGGCCATTTTTCTTCCCAAAAATTGGGCCCAGGATCTCAACTAATTAACTATTTTTAACTACATGCACGGTCGAAGTATTCAGAGTACTTTGATTTTATAAACCCAAGGACTATTCAATTCAAGGCGTGATAGAAAAATTAATTTTGTCCTAAGTTTATATTTTTATTCAAAACATCTAGAAGTTCTTTCCTTGCTTGTAATTGAACATATGCAGATGTAGAAGTTCTTCTAGATAACCAAAAGCGTTTATCAAGTTTTGTTTACGCAATCCCAATCAAGTAATCACATTCTATAGAGAGTACGTCGTAGCACATGGAAACGTTCCTGGGAGTCTATTAATCTTATAATCGTGATATTGTGATATTGTGGAAATTAACACCATCTAGATACAAGAATAATTTTGATTTAGAATTTGTCTGATCATTTTTAGTCATGTAAGATGAATTTTCACGTTTATCGTCATCGTGTTATGTGTTAATTAAATATGTATCCTGTCAAGATTCATGCCAAATTAATTACGAAAATAACCAATAAAACCACTAACTGTAATGGCCAGTAGTAAGCGATTACTGTGGTTGGGTTTGTGATCTATTGTGAAAGCTTGGTCCTGTTAATTTAGTACACGATTTAGTATGTCTGAGATCACACCTCAACTTATCATGATCGCTAGCATATTTAGTGGAACTGAAGTGACGCGCTTCTCATTAAGGAGTAAGACTTCCTGTTAGGGCATTATTTGTGACAACCCCTTTGGTAACACCTATGGGAATAGGCTAACACGAGCCTTTTTCTCTGACTTCTCTTAGCAAAGAAGGAAGAAAAAAAAAATCAAGTTATTCAATACACAATCGCTATTTTCCGGACTTCTGATCTTAGCCAAAACGAAAAATAAAATCAAGTTGGTCAATAGCCCTTAAAAGTTAAAATACAAAACATAAAATTCTCGTTTAATTAGTTGGTTATAAAAAAATTAATTAATTACCTAACTGGGAGATAAGATGCACAATCAAGATTAGGTGGGGGTACACTTTGATTGTTATGTCGAAATGAATTCATGCAGGCCATGCCCACTTCCACTTCCTGAGGTGTCTTGTTCCAACTTGTTAGTTAGCCGACAATTAGGTTAATATAGACTTTATGGCGTGCGATTTAGTTGGAAAAACAAACATTAATGCATGTTACAATGTCCGTTAACTGGTTAACCCAACCTTTGATTTGGACTAGGAGTGAGAAAAGAGTGGCAGCCACGAAAGCTGATCATCACCAAGCCTCCTCCAGAGATGGGGGTCTGTGCTAAGCTTCATAATCTCTTTGTGAGATACTTTGAACTTTTTATTTGATTTACAAGTTGTGAAATATCATAATTGAAATTTGAAGTATGAAAATGCTAACATGAATAACGTCCGCGCTAGATAGATATGAGATTATGAGAGATGAGACGTGTGAGTAGAGACTCTTATGCAATTCCACACTGTAAAACAGTATTTTTTTTTCTTTTTTTAGTGTTAATTGTAGATGTTTATTCACCTAATGACCAGTAATGTTTTCATAAAATAGGGGATCGGATTATTCATATTCAAAGTTTCTCTCCTACACGCAAAAGGGCTTTTGGAATTTCACAATATATTCCTTGGCCCTTTTTTTTAAGCAAACCACATCTAAAGAAACTTTTATTATTTACCCTGTCAACTTCCTTTAATGAATTTGGACACAAGATTTGTGTGCCGAAAAAGTCTTCGACGGTACTGCATTATACGTTTCTTTCGTTTCGCAAAAGCCTTTAGCTTTTGCAGAGATGCTTTGCCTTGAAAAATATAGATTACTAACATCTTTGCTAACTATTTTCTGAAAAACCCAATAATATGACAAGTCAATCATCATTTTAATTAGTATATTCTCCATTAATTTTTTTATAAACGGGTAACACATTGTCATATTGATAATTTGGTAAAATTTGTTATTTGGGATTTGGCAAATCCCCTCGGTTGACCAATAGCTACTTGCGTTATGCAAACCTTGCATAATTAAGTAAAGTACCTGAAAAAGTCGGTCATCGATCTCTATCTGTTCAATTATATAATTGGTTAACTTACTATTCTAATCACACATAATTATCAGACTAATTAAAAAAAAAAAAAGCCCTTAGTGATAACTGATAATCAATCCACACAATATCCGGACCTCAAAGACTACAAAAATATAAGCACCAATACAACGTTGATCAGCACGTACAATCTATAAACTGCAAAACGATTATCATTTCTTCCAAGTTTTAACCATCATATTATTAATGAAGTAAAACAAGTAAATGGCCAACCAAATCACGCAAGGTGGTGAAAGAGAAAATAAATTTTTAGTCGTGTTTGGAATTGATCATTTTTTTGTTTTTTACGTTTTTCAAAAAAAAAAAAAAACGTTTTTAAAACAGTGTTTAGCGCAATAAAGACAAAAAATAAAAATAAAAATAATTTTTTAATTTAGTGTAAAATGAGAGAGAAATGAAAAATGATTTTTAATCGTTTTTTATTTTTTACTTTCGTTTTCTCCATTCTCGAACAGAGAGAAAGACATTAATGAAATTTTTTATACTGAAAATAATTTTTTAATAAAACTATAAAATATATTTTTAAAAATAATTTTTATCTGAGATTTAAAATTTTTTATTTTTATTTTTATATAAAAAATAAATTTATTTTAAAATAAATTTTAAACGCATCCATTATTTTTTTTTTTAAAAAAATCTTCACATGTTAAACGGCGGTGATATCGTGTTGTGCTTTCTGACCTAGTAAGTTCTTACCATTAAACACGGAGGACAGTTCAACTGGCTGATTTCTTCAGTTTTTCACACATGCGTAAAATGCTTTTTAAAAGGTTCCAAAATTTCCCAAACGTAAGTACGTGTCCACAAAAAGCCCACACCAGAAACGAGAAAATTGATGAGACTACCAACTGTATATTACTAATATGTAATATCACTAACAACTAATAAGCAAAAAAACAAAAAACAAAAATAAAAAACGTAGAAAAAAAAAACACAATAAGCAGCAAAAAAACAAAACAACCAAAAAAATAAAAATAAAAAACGTAGAAATAAGAAGAGGGAGAATATTAAATGGAAACTGAAAGAAACCTGATTAAGTAAAATCCCACCTGTCATCCTAAATCACTAGTAGTCCCACACGCAAAAAACAATGTGCCCAAAAACAATCACAATCTCCTTTCTCCTTCTTATCTACCAAAATTGATCTCATCCTCATCAGCCATCACTCGTCGGCTCATACAATGTTAGTCGAATAAAACAATACCAGCAACAAATAGAATTATTAAGGCTAAAAATACCACGCACTTGCGCGTGATCCTCATGGACACTACATCGTTTTATTAGTTGTTTTTACTGTGCGTATGATATGCGACCAAAACAGTTAAAACCGCCATACGCGGTCACGCACAAACCTTTTTTATTTTTATTTTTCCCAACATGCGCATGTGGCCTCAACTGAACTCACTAGTATTCAACAAACTCTGTCACCGGTTCTTGCCTCGCTCCTCACGCGTTTGCTCAACTCATCATGGCGTTAGTAATTTATCATTTTTTTTTTTTTATCAACACAATTCAGTATTAACGTGAGACTATTGAAGATAAAATGAATAAACTGATTAATTTGGTTCTTGGAAATTAAAAAAAAATTAAATTAATTGAATTTCTAATAATAACACAACTGAGAAGCTAACAAGAGAGTTCTTCAACTTGTATGTACAGAAAAAAATTGTGTTAACCACAACTAGTAAAGAAAAAAAAATTCAGAAAATTGAATTTTCCTAAGACTAAAATGAAACCAAGGACGAAAGAGGGAAGGGGAAAATAAATGCTAATTTTAATGGTGTTGGGAGATTTGGATCTTCAGAGGCATCAAGGCTCGCTTCTTCAACGGATGGGGACTCTCGACCTCGTCGTCGCCGGAGATGAAGAAATTGCGTGAGAACTCTGGTAAGGCAGGGAGGTTAAGGTCGAAGTCGCGGTGGCTATGGCTGAAGGCGGTGTGAGTAGTAGAGCCCACGCCTTCGGAGGACGTCACAGCGCTGTTTGCGGCGGCGACGGAGGCAGAGACGGTGGTGTTGGTGGCGTTACCACCATCGTAGTGACACCTCTTGTGTCCACCGAGAGCCTGGCCGGTAGGAAAAGTCTTGTGGCAGATGGAGCACGCGTGAGACTTACCAGTACCGTTGGAGACTGCGCCGGCGGCGGCGGTGGCGGCGGATGTCGTCGTGGTGGACGACGTGGACTGATCCTCGCCGCCACCGCTGCCTTTTCTATGGCTGGCCTTGTGTCCGCCGAGAGCCTGGTAAGAGGAGAAGGCTTTGTTGCAGACAGAGCACTTGTAGCTCAGCTTTGCGGCCGATTCCTCCGCCAGTGGAGGAGTGGAAAGAACCGGCTTTTGACGGCGGTTTGCGCCGCCCCGAGCGAGCATGATGAGGCAGAGAGCGAGGTACTCTTCCTCTGTGGGCGCGTTGTCGAGGCGTGGACGCTTGGAGCGCTTCCGCTTCGCCCACGGCTGGTCGAGGTACTGGAGGCTGGCGGCGTCCTCGAAGCGGAACGAAGGCGCCGCTGCGGTCGGAGAGTTCAGAGCTTCTAGAGCCATCGCAGAGTGAAATGAAATAAAGAGAGGAATATGCTTTGCTAATCCAAGTAAGGAAAAAGAGAGAAGCTCTTAAAAGAGAGGTTTTGGGTGTGGTGTTTGGCTGGAGTGTGAAGAATGTGAGTTGAGTCGAGAGAAGGCGTTGGCTTGGTTTGTATATAAGGGGGAGGAAGCGGAAGTTGCGTGTCGAGTGGTGGGAAAGTGAGAGAGGAAGAAAAGAGTGCGGCCAAAGTAAACTTTTTCTAAATAAATATTTTTTTAAAAAAAAAAGAAATAAAAAGAGGAACCAATTTACAATTTGCAAAACAAGGGAGTGGAGCACGTTTATCTGTAAGCGCTTTCTTTCTTGGTGGGCAAGGAGGATGGACTCAACTTAAGTCGGTCAAAGAGAGTGAGACTGTGGAGACAACTGAGAAGTGGCAAGTGTTGTTTGTGTGTGTTAATGTAGGGCCAATTTGCCAGGCCTGACGAGTGAGATTACTTAATACTGATCTTTTTTTTCTTTCTTTTTTTTTTTAGGTTCAATGAAACTCAAAAAGAAAGACCGAGGCCAGAAAGACGGCTTTATAAGTCAAACGTACAAGGTGGTGAAGTTTCTGAAGTTGAACAAAAAACGCGGTCCGATCCAGGCTTTAGCAAATAGCAACCGGCGTCTTAGGTAATCGCAGCGACTTTTCCTTTTCAGATTTCACTTTGGGTGGGGGCCGACTATTTAGATTACATTTACAACCGTGTTTGTCTTTGGCAACTCTTTATTTATTTATTTATTTTTTGTTGGTAAATGGAAGAATTTAGTTTGGCAAGTTGGAAAGTGGTTCCATGTATTAGGACACCGCCATATAGAAATATAATGGCCAGTGATTTAGAGCCAGAACACGTGGTATTAACATCAAAGAGGAGGACAGCATCTACTATCTATCTGTTTTTTTTGCCCATTCAATTAAGATGGTCATATCACGCATCCACATACGGAATTTTGTTGTTGTAGTCTCAATTATTCATTAATTAATTAATTAATTTTTTGCTAAAGCAATCTAGTCTTAAGGTATTGATATTATAGTCGGCCCTTTTTAGTTGTGATCGTTGAAATAATAATGATGATGGATTTGAAAAAGTAACGGCAGACACTTCCAGAAATGTGTTGGAAGAAAAATGAAAGGAGATTGTTTTGAGACAAAATTTTTTACTAAATAGAAAATTTCCATTTAATTGGTTTGAAAATCAGCAGCTTAGCTAAATTTTCTTGATCATGTTTTAAGTCATTCATTCATATTGGATACAAATAGTGGGCTGTGGGCATAGTTCTTTGGGAAATTCTCGAAGGACCTTTCTCACCTCCAACTGTGTTGATTCCCAATACTTTCCAAAGCTATATTTGACGTATTTTGTGGGCCAAGAACACACGAGAATTGTGTGTGAAATTTCCATTTCAACAACGCTTGTGATGGTGGGTCGATTGAATGTGATTTTTCTTTTTTTCCCCCTTAAAACACTTTAAATGTGAAGTTACAACTCTGCAGTTGCAGAATTACTTGCCGATGTATTACAAAAATAAGGAATTATTTGACATTTTTATGAGAAAAAAATATATATGTTCTCTCTTTTAGTACAAAATTACTAGTGAAGGAAATAACACTTCCAGGAGTTTATAATGCAAAGGTGGAGAAGCATCCTGGTAATAACACCATCATCACTTGTCGGCTAATATGCTATCTACCTTTTGTCGGCGGTCCCTTTGCACAATACATTATAGCCGTCCAATAAACAGTGATTGAATTACTTAAGTAGTCGAAGGGAAAATAATTGAGAATTAGATTAAAAGCCAAGTGGAGAGAAATTGGTCCACCGATAGGATGGTAAACGGATTAACTAATTAGTTGCGCTATGCTCTCCTTTTGAGTGCTGCTTACTGGTTGAGTAGGTGCTTCTGTCATTGCATTTTTTTTTTTTTTATTCACTTATTAATTTATTATTGTTGTTTTGCCCAAGTGCTCCAAACACACATTTCCAAAACAAACAAGAAATATTTATATATGTAATTGCACATATATATTATTGACACACAATAAACAAAACAACTTGCTATATAATTGTCCAATTCCGGGGCCTTATGAATTATGTCATTATAAAAGCACTGGGGTCGTTATTCTTGTATTGCCGTAAGCATATTTAACGCAATTTCTTCATGTTGATCCGTAACTAACCGCCAATAGATTACAGGCACTCAGGCAGCATGGCTAGAAGTTTCTTTCCATGTTTATCCTATGAAATGCAAGTTTGTATATAGATTTGAATCTTTGATACCTATCCAAAATGGGAATACAAAATAATAATAATAATAATAATAATAATAATATTTATCTTCAAAACGTTTTCTTTTTTTCTCGTTTCAAATTTTAAGATTGACTAGTCATTTTGACCTTTGACTGACTGTTCGTGGAATATAATGAAACAAAGATATTTTGAACAGGAACGTAAACAGATCAAACACCCAAATACGCAGGTGCTTCCCCTTCAAAGTTTACACATATTCGGCCTTTGAAATAAAGAGATGCCCATGACAAGACTTGTTTTTCTTTCATTTAAAACCAAAAAAAAAAAAACAATATGAAGGGAAAAATTTTGTGGATAATTTGACGAGTTCCTTTTAGCTAGGGCTGTTAAAAAATCTGAAAAACTGACACCGACCGTTTCTGACCAAAAGAACCGAAAAAATCCGTTTTTAACTGGTACCAACACTCAGGTCAGTTAATCGAACGGTTCGGTCTTGTGTATAAAATGGAGATTTGGTAAATATGGAGGTTCAAACCCCTGCCGCGGGAAATTTCTCACCACCACCATACTACTACTCCATGGTAGAGATTATATTGGGTTTGATTAATATTTAGTATTAATTTATGCTCTTCGGTTCTCAAAAGGAAAAGCCAGCAATAAATGATCACATTTATTCACGTTGGAAAGTGGCTAATTAAGACAAATACACTGTCTCCCGCCAGGTTCACTGCACATTTGTTAGTATTCCGAGTTTTAATAAAATTTATACAGTAATTGGATACTTCTTGAGCGATCACTTATCATCATATGAAATTCAGACTCTAAAAATATAAAATAAAATAAAAAAAGAGGAACTACTAAAATAGCTTTTAGAAAATTATTTATCTTCGGGTCGCCCAACCCTATTCCTCGTTTAGCTAGTTCGGTTAGAAGGACGAGGGAAGACTGCTTGCCATGCATCCCACTACCTCTCATTATGCCCCGGCCCATGACTAAGTAGTCTACTTCTAATGTATACTTTAAATGACCTTGGGTAATTTAAGTAGATATCACATAGTTTAACTTGTCTTTTCGATGGAAGGCTATTCATGATCTCGGCTCATGATTCAATTGCCATGTATTTAGCTATTGAACCTCAAAGTTTATGTTTTTATGTGATCGCAGCATCAAAAATAATAGGCCAATATAAAAAGTTTAAAAAAGTATATAGGTCAACTTTTAGTTATAGAAATTAATAGGTCATAACTTGTCAAGTTATGGTTCATAATCAGATAAGTTATGAATAAATTTGTCAAGTTATGATTCATAACCAGATAAGTTATGGATAAAAATTATAATTTATAGACAATAACTTGTCGAGTTATAGTTCATAACCAGACAAATTATAGATAAAAATAATAATTTAACCTATTTATTAACTTACGTAAACTATTAACTTATTAATTTTAATTTATCTCAAATTTTAACCTATTTCACTCTTTCTCCCCATTTATATTCGCCACATTTTAAAACTTCTAAAAACCAACACGAGTCCCACGTTAATGAAAAAGTCTTCTCTCAACTCCATAAGGGTAAAGGTTTCACTTTCTACTATTGCTACACATATTGAACGCCCCTTATGGAATGGGGTATCAATCTAATTTTTGTTTTCCTAATTTTGACTATGTGAATTGTCAGGAAAAAATAGTTTTTAAACTTTTTAATATTTAAAGTTTGTGTGCTGTTCAATATTTTTAAGCTTAAATGAAGGCTTATAATTGTGGGCTTTTTCATTTTTGGCTTAAAATATATATTTTTTGGAATTTTAATTACAAAAGTAGTTAAAATTTCAAAAGAAGCATGGTAAAAACTTTTTCTTAAGAGGTGGTGAAACCGATAGGAAATCGACCGTGAAAAACTGACCATTGACGGTCAAAAAACCGACTAATTTCTTCTTAATACGGTCGGTTGTCGGTTTTTAATTTCTAAAAACCGACATGATCAATTTAGTTTTAAAACCGATTTTCAAAAACTAATATGGTCGGTTTGGTTTTAAAACTGATAAAAAATGTCAGGTTTTCGACCGTTGTTCACCCTTACTTTTAGTCAGAGAGAGAGAGAGGAACTGAGAGTTCCTTTGGAGAAAAGAAAAGATCTCAAAAGGCATATATCATCCTCCAGCCAGAAACAAAGCTCAACATATCAATTTTCGAATTGCCCTTTGTCACAAGAGCAAGCCGTGACACTGAAAAGCGTACATGCCTTTTAGTTAACAAGTTCAAGAAAATTTTCTTCAACCAAAAAAAAAAAATTAGTAAAAAGCTAAAAAAATACTTAAAAAAGAGAGAGTGAACTTATATTCTCTTACTCTTCTTTTTTTAAACGTGAATTCTATTAACATGATATATTAATATTTAAATAAAAAATAATAATAAAATACACGTATTAAATAATGTAAAAAATAATAAAAAAAGTAAAGTTATCATTTCTCCTAATGTTGTCTGTAAGGAAAAGCTTCGTGAAGTCATTGCGTAGCTAATGGTTTTCCAACAATAATTTACGCCACGGAAACGGAGTGCCAATTCTAGAGTCTCCTGTAAGGCATTAGCTTCTGGGATACTCCCCTCCCCGACAGGGCAATTAAAAATGAAAATCATGTGAACAAAAGTGTGTCTGGCGAAAGACGACTTCTTCAACTGTTTAATGAGTAGGAGGAAACAAACATATTATGTTTTACTTTGGGTGGGCCATTAATGGGAAGGAAGCAGTTAATCACGTTCCTAGAAGATTTCGACAGAACAAGGGAACTTACTCGAATGAGAGAGTTTTAGGCAGTATCTGAAGTTGGATTTGTTGTTCGGAAGAAACGAGAGAGAGGAATGGTTAAAAGGCGGCTTATCTTGTCTGTTACGTTCGGTTTGATTCTAGTTTTAGTTTTAAGTTTTTGTTCTGGTGATTTTGGCTTTATTAATTAACAACTTCTTACTAAGAGCTCCGTACTTCGTTGTAATATAACTGATTGATTGCCTGCGGAAGGGTTCGCGGAAACTGCAATGGTCACTAGATGACATAATTCTTCACGGGTCATGGGAATATAAGGGGGTATTCGTTTGCATTTTTAAGTCAGGATGATTTAGTGATGATTTTGAGTTAAATTTGAGTTATAATTTGAGTTTAAATTGTAACTTGAGTTTGTATTTAGATGTGTACATTTGAGTTATGATTTGAATTGAGAATCTATTTGAGTTTATATTTGGGTGGGTCAAAACTTAAATTTGTATTTAGATAATATTTTAATAAAAACTCAATGGTGATGAAAATTTTTAATAGGGTATATAGGTGGGGTTTTATTCATCTTTTTGTTGTGAATGCATAGAAAAAAAAATCATCTCAATTAGAATAAAACGAAAAAATTATGGTATTTTTAAGAATAAAAAAAATAATATTCATTAACTTGAGTTCGAATTTATGAACTCAAGTTAAAGAGAAAACTTGAACTCGAATTTAGCTCCAAACTCGAGTTCAAACTCAAATTTTACAAAAAAATATGAACTTAAATAAAGTTGTAACTTGAGTTTAAATTTTTTTAAAATTTCATTGTAAAAGAACAACCCTTAAATATCCGTTTGTGTAAAAATTGAAAGAACGTTGCGGTGTGGATTAGAAAAAATGTACGGTAAGAATATAATTTTGAACTTTCAATTTTTTATCAAATTGTGTTAATTAAGGTTGGGTAAAATTTGTGGATCATAAAATTCACCTTAATAGTTGATATGTGGGATTTTTGTTTGCATTTTCCTAACAATTCATCCTCCCTTATTCGCTACACAAGAGTTCTATTCTAAATTTAAATCGTTTTAAACTCATTTATCAATTCTATGCTAAATTTTTACTCACGCACTCCTAACTAAGATAAATAATAAGAAGACATTATAATAATGATGTGATAACAGCAGTGGCGGACGGAGGGACGTGGGGCCCGGGGGCATATGAATTTTTGCTATTTTATTTTTCATATACAGTTCTTTAAAAACTTTTCATTTATGCCCCCTTTATTAGTAAAAATTTTAAATAAATCTCCACAAAATCTAATTTCAATTTTTTTACTTTCTTATTGTTCCTTTGATCCTTTTCTATAAATTTTATACTTTTAGATGTATCTAATTGAATTATTATTTCTTTTTCTAATTTACTCCTATGGAAAGTTTTTTATTTAAAATTGGTCACTTCTAAAATGCTTTTTCACATAATCTTTATTATATAAAAGTGAGTCTCGTGAAAAAGTTTATATGATCCATTACAATAATTTTTGTCAATTGTGTCCTTAATTAAATACATTTTCTCTTATTTGCCCTTGTTGAAGTACTTTTTTTTTCTCCAAATGAGTTCCTACGTACTTAAACAATTTTTTTTTCTTACAGCACTCCCAAGTACTATTTTCTGCCATAAGAGTTTAGGTGGGATGGAGTCTTGAAAAAGGTTGTGGGTTCAATTTTGTGTTGTATTACATATTATGTACCTTCTAAATGATTTTTTTTATCTAATTCACCTGTTAAAAGATTTATTTCTATACTTTTCTATATATATATATAATATTCATCTAAAAGCATATATTGATTAAAATGCGCATTTTAATGCATTTTACTTAAATATATTCTTTTTACTAAACTAGAGAGTAATAAAAGAAATAAGAAAAACTATACCTCGTTCACTTCGCTGATTCGAGTTTAAAATTTGAGTTGAGATGTGATTTTATGTGAGAGCTTTTTACTATAGTAAAAAAGTTAGATGTAATTGTTTGTGAGAGCTTTTTACTGTAAAAAAAACTCGAATTCTAAATTCAAATCAACGAAGTGAACGGGGCCTTAAACTCTTCAAAATTTTGAATTCACGCATCAAAAAATTTAATAAACTAATCAATATATACGTGCATAATATGCTTCTAACTAGTTAATAGTATGAAAAAAAAAAAAAAAAACTAATAGTATTAGGAGTTGATTTTTTTAACGTTTTTTAACGTTTTATACATTTTTAGTTTTGTGCCCATCAAACAAAATCCTGGCTTCGCCTACAAGGCGTGTCGTTTGTGGAGAAATTCATCTGAGGCCGCCTTATTTGGTTCAATTGTTCAAGATTGGTTCATCAAAATGGCCGGAGAAGCCATCCTTCTTATTGGGCCAAATAGTATTGCTATATGGGCTTCCTGAACATGAGAACAGCAATACCGTGTGAGATCATCTAACGGAAAAGTAGAGACATGAACATGATCAATGTTTAGACTCTAGTGTCTACCGATTATCACTGGACGTCATTACTATCAGTGGAAGATAGACTAATGTATACAGGGGTAGCAATTTGTATAATTCGTGTCACGTGTTTTGATTTTCTTTTTAATTTTATAGTTAATTCAAATACGATTCGTGATACAAAAATTTGTAAAAATTGCAACACAAACACGATACATTCATTTTACAAGTTGACACGATACGATACGAAAATGATCTGTAAACCCGAAATTGACACGAAAATTATATACTTTTCTTTAGTTTTTTACATATTAGAAATAACTTAAAATTCATAACACACTAAAATACAATAACATTTATCAAAATTAAGCAAATAATAGTAAAGATTTTGAGTATAACTATCATGATACCACAAGTTCATAATAAAATCTAAAATATGTAATGAAAAATATATATTTTTTAAATTTTTTATGAGTTTCGTATCGTATTCGGATTAGACGGATCTAATCTGAAATTGATCCGTATTATTTGTGTCAATTTTAAGTCGATGTAAAGGCAAATCTTTCCCACGACATTCCAATTTATAGCTGGAGCACCATAAGCGTTTGCTTTCTTCTTACTATTCTTTTTTCTAACTTCTCTTTTCTTTTAGCAATTTTTATGGTAGGGTAAGTTTTTTGTTTTACTCATGGATAATGTTGTTTAAATTGTTCAATTAATTTTTTAACGATTATATTTGTAAAAGATTATATTAAAAATGTAAGAGGTGTTACACAAAACTATTTCCAAACATAAATTTAACCGTTAAAAAGGTTAATTTAGCAATTAAATCATCAGTAGAGAAAAAAACCTGTCCTACCATAAACATTGCCTTTTTTTTAAGAGAAAAAAAAAATGGTCCAACTTTCCTCTTTAATAAATAAATTATAATTGAAGTAAATATCAATTATTCATATTACCGCATTTACCAAGTGGGAAGTGGGAAACCCTCCAACCCTGATGGCTCAGGCCACTTACTGTTATATGATTTATTTATTGTACTCTATGGTTGGTGTAATGAATAGACAAAAAAAACCCTTGACCAGAACGCATGATATCTCTTGATTTCCGTATGTGAATGATGATTATGAAACACGAAAAGCGTGGTGCAAATCCAAATTCTCCCCCCCAAAAAAGGTCACGCGCTATCTTGTACTTGATTTTCCAACCATATTCTTCAGTTGCGCAAATCAGCAATGACGCAAAACACCTCAGTTTTGTCTCCGTCAAATTCACCATCCATCACACCCACAGCCGCCGCCGCCGCCGCAATCACCCGTCGACTCAGAGCTCCGTCGACGCTGACAACGGTTTCTGCTTCTCGCCCTCTTCAGTTCTCCTGGATTCGCTTCCATCTGTACCGATCATCCGTCTCTCCTCTTCTCTGCACTGGTAATTCTCACTTATTCCCCAATTTTGTCGTTTTCCGGATCCCAGGGGTGTCTCGGCTTTCATTTTTCATAGGGCTATTATTGTCAAAGCGAAAGAACAGGGTAAAACAAGATATTTAGGGGAAGGGCAATCTGGTCATATAAAGTTATTTACCAATAAAAAGTCTTTCTAGTAAAGAAAAAAAAAAAGAAAATAAATAATACTTCTATGCAAGTCTGAAGTTCAAAAGACAAATCTAAAGTGTTGTTATTGTGGCGAGCAGTGAGTCACTCAGTTGAAGAAGAAGAAGAAGAAGAAGATCGAGAAATGGCCTCCGAAGACGGCCAAGACCTTCGCATAGCTAGAATCGCCTCCGCCATTCGAGTGATCCCAAACTTTCCCAAACCTGGTAGTTTACTTCGACGTCTATTCTCTTTCATTTTCGTTACTTTTTGGTTCTTTACGCTTGCATTTCCTTTCGTCTCCGTAATTGGTTTTTGGGTTCAAAAAAAGTAGAAAAGCCTCGATTCTTTCCTTTGATTTCTGTCATATCGATACCGCTTATTGGTTTTGTGTCGAAAATCGAAATCGAACGGTGCTTGTAAAAGTTTTTTTTGGTGACTGAATTTTCAATTTCGCTTTCGCAGGGATTATGTTCCAGGATATCACCACGTTGCTTCTGGACACGAAGGCTTTCAAAGACACGATTGATTTGTTCGTCGAAAGGTACAAGGACAAAGCTATCTCCGTTGTCGCAGGTAATCCTTTAATGAAGCATATTGTTTGAGAATCGCGTTTAGTTTCAATTGAGGAATTTGATATGAAACATTGATCTTTTATAGATATTTATATCAGTACATTATACAGTGTTCTGCTTTGCAGTTTGATTCTATGCGCGGTGAGGGTACAATGTGTCATGCCAATATGTTAGACCTGGATGACAAAAAATTGGTTTTCAGTTGTAAAAGAAATGGGTGAAACTGTGGTGAATTGGACCTGCCAAAAGAAAATGGTTTTCCTTTCTATGTAGTCACACTTTTCTTTGACCCAAGAGAAAGTATTTAGATGGCATTTTCTTGTTGTAAATTGTTATAACTAATTAGTAGTGAAGCTTTTACGGGTGCAAGGATTTAAGTGGAGAGGATCCTTCTTTTGACCGAGTTTAAATTTGGTTCGGATTTTCTAATTCAAATGTTTCGAAAGGATGGTTGACTCGTGGAATTTGCCTGATAACGATATCTAAGTTTACTCCATACTTCCTAGGTCATGTATTGAGTTGAAATATTCAAGTTCAATAATTTGCCTGAGCTTGAGCAGGAGTTTGACGTCTGTTTTTAAAGTTTGGTGTGGTGCTTACAAGAAAAGAAGTCTTCCACATTGAGATTCTACTTTAGAGATTTGAGCAATTTTACTTAATTGTAATGCCAGTCCCATAATATCTCACCTATAAGAGAACATAGTTTTTCTTGGCAATAATGTTTGAGTTGACTCTTCATTGTTTTGGTATGCATACTGTCTAAAGCCATAGTTTAGGGTTCTTTCTTTCTTGGCGGCTGTTTTTCTTGTATCGACTGATTATAAGTGTACAATTTATTGTTATATTGATGTTGGTGACTTGGTGCACAGGTATTGAAGCAAGAGGTTTTATTTTTGGCCCACCTATTGCGTTGGCTATAGGAGCAAAATTTGTGCCCATGAGGAAGCCGAATAAGTTACCTGGTACATCCTTTCACAACTTTTATTCCTTATTGCAGTCTCCACTTGAGCGGTATGATTTTTGTAACACCGGGTGGCGTGTAAGAGAGTGTCCTACATTCCTTAGTGGGTAATATGATAAGACGAAGAGCAATAGCTGACCTTTTGTGCAAAGCAAAAGAAACTGACTTTATTATTGTCGCAGGGAGAGAGACTATGAAGATTTCAGTTCGTCGTTTGCTTGCTTCTTCCTTTTTTTTAATGCATGTATGTCATTTGTCTTCTCAGGGGCGGTCATTTCTGAAGAATATTCTTTGGAGTATGGAACCGACAAGATGGAGATGCATGTTGGAGCTGTAGAAGCAGGGGAGCGCGCTCTCGTCATAGATGATCTTATTGCAACTGGGGGAACCTTGTGTGCTGCAATCAGGCTACTAGGTACTATACAAAGCCGTATACTTTAGATATCTATATTTGATGTTCATACCCTGCCAAATTTTATTTCCATCAATTGAATCAAATTTGCTTGCTCCAAATTTCTATTACTTCCATGTGAGATGGGAAGCTATATTGATTATGCGTAGTAACTAAATGTCTATCTTTCAATTATAAAAAAAAAAAAAAAAGTTTCTATTACTTCCATGTGAGATGGGAAGCTATATTGATTATGCGTAGTAACTAAATGTCTATCTTTCAATTATCAAAAAAAAAAAAAAATCTTGACAACAGGCAGGACTGTAAGAGTGTATTCATGTAGTTGGCCATATATTGATTTGCTTGCTCTTTTCTTGGAGTTTGATTTCGCGTTGGAAAGGTGAAAAAAGTGAACCGATTTTCCAACCTCCATTGCTCGTGTACAACTCTTTACAAAAGTCGTGGCCGTTTTGTTCACCCACACTTAAGCATTTTAAGCTCCTAGGCATATGACCCCCTCTATTCACGGGCTCACATCCTGTTTGGCCTTGCTTTTGCAGAACGTGTAGGCGTAGAAGTGGTCGAGTGTGCTTGTGTAATTGAATTGCCAGAGCTAAAGGTATGACATAAACATCTAAACTGGATGGTATCTAATAGCAACTTAAAAGCTCATGGCTTGATGTTGCTTACTTATTTTAAGACACTAACCGCACAAATTTTCATACATCTTTGAGGTCGTTGCTGATGCGTTTTTGTCACTGATTTCAGGGTCGAGAACGATTGGGAAACAAACCCTTGTTTGTACTAGTTAATGCAGCTTGATTAACGACATTTGTGCCATTACTTGGTGTTTCTTGGTGAAGTTCGTTTGAGAATGCTGAAACTTATATATGAAGTCGTAGATTTCGAAAGACCATTTGATTTTTATGGGGAGGAATGGGCTGATCCTAATAATAAAACGTTTGTAAGTTTGATGGTTTAAGAGACTGGTTGGTGATGCGCATTGCGCGGTAATAAGTTGTTATATCATCGTTGTTTTGTGAAAATGTGGTGCAATTTGCCATGAAGGGGAGATTGGTGACCAAATTCAGTACCTGAAGCTCATGGTTTGATGTTGCTTACTTATTTTAAGACACTAACCGCACAAATTTTTATGTAATACACACTGATTCATATATCTTTGAGGTCGTTGCTGATGTGTTTTTGTCGCTGATTTCAGGGTCGAGAACGATTGGGAAACAAACCCTTGTTTGTACTAGTTAATGCAGCTTGATTAACGACATTTGTGCCATTACTTGGTGTTTCTTGGTGAAGTTCGTTTGAGAATGCTGAAACTTATATATGAAGTCGTAGATTTCGAAAGACCATTTGATTTTTAAGGGGAGGAATGGGCTGATCCTAATAATAAAACGTTTGTAAGTTTGATGGTTTAAGAGACTGGTTGGAGATGCGCATTGCGCAGTAATAAGTTGTTATATCATCGTTGTTTTGTGAAAATGTGGTGCAATTTGCCATGAAGGGGAGATTGGTGACCAAATTCAGTACCTGACGAACACAAGCATTTAAAATAATAATAATAATGATAAAAAAATCCTCTTAACCTTTATTAAATATCCTCAAGGACCTCAACGATGGCGGAGGGAAATGCAAGAGAGCCCGTAATTAGTTATTATAAAAGCATTTGATCATATTCAAAAAAAAGAAAGGAAGAAAAATTCTTTCCTCTTTAATAGAAATAAAAAATCAATAACTGATCGACTTGATACTTAACTCACATTTCTACGTTGCGCATCTTCTTTTCATCTAATCAATTATTTTAAAACGAAAGATAAAAACCTAAATTATGAAAATGCTAATATAAAGACTGCTCGATTTTGTTCTTCCCATCTAATCAATCAAGACGTAAGATAAAGTGGTTTGAGGCTAGCTCAAGCGGTTGATTAAGTTCTTGTTTGTTTCATCGATTCGAGTTTTTAATTTTAAGTTTTTATAGTTAAAAGTTCTCAGAAAATGTATATCTAATATTTTTTGCTACAGTGAAAAGATCTCAGAAAATATCGTATCTCAACTCAAATTGAAAACTCAAACTCGTGAAGTGAACGAAACATAAATATGTACATATATCTACTAGAATTCAAATTCTAATGGGTTCATTTTTTTATTAATAAAGTAGGAGATATAAATCACACGTCATATGGAAAAAATGTAATGATAAATAAAGTCTAAATTAGAAAAGACATATTGCGTTTAAACTAATGATTCTTAATTTTCCCATTTGAAATTCAAATTTTTTATGAAAAGAAACACTGTAGCAGAATCAAACCTATAGGTTTAAACGAGGGAAACAAACAAGACCTGAGAGATTGTTGGACTTCCCTTGTATATTGCACGTACATTTTAGTAAATAACTACCTAAAAGCCTGCACGTTGCTGCGGGAAATACTGTTGTATTATACAAAAAGTTAAGAATTTTTATAGTATAGGATTAGTTCATATATGCATATATACATATAGATATATCTATATAATATTCTAGTTAATAGTTTCTTACGACGTATTAAAACTTTTATTTTATTTTTTTCTTTTGTTCTTCTTAATTGTAAAATACAAATATTATAAAAATTAATAATAACTATTAAGGAAGTTGAAAATTTTTAATTATATGTAGTGTAAATCAAAAGATTTAGAAGTAGTTATATTATATGGTTCTTGGCCTTTTTTAAGCGGGTCTGTTAGAACAAATAAAGAAATAAAAACTGAGGACAAAAGTGTACAATCAGACAATACGGCAGGCAAAAACCCAAAAGCTCCTGCGCAGGAAAATGAGAAGAAAGGGAAAAAAAAAAAAAAAAAGGAGGACAAACTAGACAATTCAAACTCAAAGGACAAAACTGGTATTTTACTGTACTAGTACAGTGATCATGCGTCTCTTTTAGTATATACAATAATATGTATGAATGTGTTGGTGGTATTTTTGCAGGAATTACAAAGTGCAATAAAAGTCAAATTCGACCCTAAGAATTTGAACATGCCAACTTTCGAGTAGGACTGCATAAAAAAACCGTCACCTGAGCGGGACTGACAACAACCGATCGAAGAAGTAGGTGACATGTCACGACCGAACGGTGGGGTTGGTTAACTGAACCGAGATTTAGTGTCTCGGTTATGTTTCGGTTTCATGTTTTAGATTTCGATCGGTTAACCAAATCGAAAATATAAGTTACCTTCAAAAATATTTTTAAAAATATTGTAAAAATACTTAAAAGTAATACTCTATCTACTAGTCTTTCGATTAAAATACTATAAAAATTCTTAAAAGTAATATTCTTTATGACTACTAATACTGTAAAAATACTTAAAAAAATATTGTAAAAGTGCTTAAAAGTCTTTATGTTAACTGCAAAAGCCGAACCAAACCGACAGAATATGACAGTCTAGTTGATGTTCAGTTTTATACCCCTATTAGACGGTTTCAGATCCAATTATCCGCAAAATCAAAACTTCCAAACCGAGAAAAACCGACTAATGCACACCCCTATGTGCTCAGGCAAAAGGCAAAAGCTCAAAATACACCAAGTATCATCAAAAAATGAAACCGTAGGATATTAAAGACATTCAATGAACGAATATTAAATTGTATTAAAAATTTTATTAGTTGTAACATTTAGAAGGTGAAGAATTAAAAAGAGAACAAACTATTAAATTTATACGAGAATTTAAACTCCTCATTCTTAATATACTACTAGTTTTTTGTCCGTGTTCTAGTGAAGTTCTATTAAAAAATTAATTTGGCATATAATAAAGTGTTTATTCACAAATTAACATTATAATCTATCAAGAACTTCTATCAAATTTTTTATTAACTAAGAGGGATGATTTGGTTTACGCCTAAATGCTCATTTGTGCAATGTAGTTGTAATCACTGTCATTGGAATTAACCTTAATATCAAGGTCTCTAAAGTTGAGATATGCATCTCAGATATTTTAACACATGAAAATTCATATAATTATCAGTAAGAATGGATCCCTAATTTAACATATATATAGAGAGAGAGGGGGGATTGTAATAAAAGTATTTGTGTATGGGTATATTTGTAACAAACATTAATGAATGACAAGAATGTAAATAAAAATTAACTAAGGGTTAAAAATCAAAGTAAGAAAAATCACAAAAGAAAAGCTAAAAAGCAAAAAAAAAAAAAAAAAAAAAAAAAAAAAAAAAGGACAGAAATGGAAACGAAATGTTCATGCCACGTGGAAGGCAAGTGTTCATTAACGCTTTTCGCTTTTTATATATACTAGTCTTTAGTGCGCTATGCGCGCGCGTGATTTATTTAAAATAGTGGTTATTCAAATTGTTTTTTTTTTTAAAGAGAAAGAAGAAAAAAGAGACAAAAAAATGAAGATGAAAAGAGAAAAAGATCTAAAGCAAAAGACAAGAAAAAAGATTTTAACTTATTTTGTTGTGTTTCAAATTAGTTCTATTTTGTTTTGTTTAATTTTTTTTATTTAATTGGGCATGATTTTACTTTATTTTAGTGTGTTATTGTTTAATTTTATTTGAATTATTTATAGTATTTTTATCTGAATATCATAAAAAATTTAGTATAAAACGGTGTTAAATTATATAAAATTACAACAAATCAGTTAAAAATAAACAAATAAATAAATATATTACTAATGAAAAATAAATTCAAAAATTATTACGACCGTCAGATCGAAAGACGCGCACGTGATTCATTTAAAATAACGGTAATACAAATTGTTAAAAAAAGACAAAAAAGAAATGAAGACAAAAGCGACAAAAGATCTGAAGCTAAAGACAATAAAAAATGATTTTAACTTAGTTTGTTGTGTTATAAAATAGTTTTATTTTGTTTTGCTTAATTTGTTTTTATTTAATTTCATGCAATTTTATTTTGTTTTAGTGTATTTTTGTTTAATTTTATTTTTTATTTGAATTATTTATAGTATTTTAATATGAGTAGCATCAACAATTTAATGCAAAACAATTTTAAAATGGATAAAATTAGACAACAAATCAGTTAAAAAATAAACAAAATAAAATAATAATAATAATAAATAAATCCGGAAATAATGACGTTTGTTGGATCAAGAGATTTAACGGCCGCAATTTACACGTGTAAGCCACACCCAGACAAAGGCGTGTGCACCTTTGTCGCGCCAGTTGCCTCGCGTTAGCGGCTCCGCCACTTTCTCTTGTGCGCCAATCTGAACGAGCCACGTGTCATGGCTGTCGACCATTTTCTTCTCGCGTTCCATCTGCTGTATTGTGCACCATGTGAGCTTGTTTTTTTCGGCGAATAAAATGTAACATTTTCGTTTCAAAACCCAAAAAACCCATTTAACCTTAGTAATATTGTATAGATGGGGATATATTTAAAAATATATAGAAACTAAAGGCAAAAAATGTAATAAAGAAAGTTAAGGGTTAAGAAAAAAATGTTTATGTGGGGACAACTTTGAGAATAAATTATTTTAACGGAATAATTAGGAGAGAAATAATAGTTTAGATAACTGTGAAAAAGTATTAAATGATGATATATTTGAATAAATATTAAAATTAAAAGGCCAAAAATTGTATTAAAGAAAGATGAGGGAGGAAAAGAAAGAGAAAAAGAAACAAAAACAAAAAAAAGGCCAAAAAAAACCAAAAAAAGAAAAAAAGGCCGAAACGTTTCGCATGTTTCGTTAACCCCAAAAAACTCATTGGGCTTTAGTATTGTTGATTTCGTTACCATGTTTCGTTAACCCCCAAAAAACCCATTTGGCCTTAGTATTGTTGATAGATGATAGATAGATAGATATATGTAGATGTAGATAAGATTCTCTCAAAGTGAGGTAAATGGCTAGAGACGCAATTTCCAATACAAAATCTTAAGGCAATTACACTAGACTCCAATTATTTTACTCATTTTGTGCTTAAAGTGTTTTTTTTTTTTTGGTCGTTCCCATAACATTATTGAGTATCATGTCTGTTTGATTGATCTATTATCTTTTTCAAGGATGTTGAGTTACCATTGAA